GTGTGTGTGTGTGTGTGTGTGTTTATATGACGGGAGAGCCTGGTGAATCCATGACACATATGTTGTTCCAAACCTGTGTGACGTTCTTTTTTCCATGTTACAAAAAGAAGTTGTGAAGAAAGTTTTTGTTCATATATAATGAGTGTCAATGGTGATTAAAATAGAGCTTGATTTGTTTTCCATTGCCTCTCATTACAGTGGACAAAAACATTTTCTTTTTTGTTTCATGCAGAAAGAAAATGATAGAGGTTTGGAATAACGTGAGGGAGAGTAAATTATGACAAAATTTACATTTTTGGGTGAAATGACTGCCTTGAAGCATTAAACATGGTTTTCCTGATCTTTTGTATAGTGAACAACTTTTCCCTCTGATTATAAGTTGAGGAGAGTGAATTGCCTGCTCAATTGTTCTCCAATGAGATGTGTGACATTCAGGTGAAGCAGATTGAGCTGTGCAGATCAGAAACATATTTAGCAGAGGTGGGTACCAGAATCAAGAGTTAATTTATACAACAAACTATACTTAATTATTTATCCATCCGTCCATCATAAAAAGTAATCCACACGGCTCTGGGAGGCTAATTAAGGCCTCCTGAAGCGAAGCGTTTGTATAAGGAAAAAATATCCATATTTACAACTTTATAAACTTATTATATGAGACAGTGACATTTTGTTTTTAAAAACATGAATTCAGTAGTGATTCACACACAAAAATCCAGGAAAGTGTTAGTCATGGAGGATGTGATTAATAAAGTAAAGTTTTCCTGAATTTTGAGTGATGAATCACTATTGAATTCCTGTTACAAACAAGAATTTACATGGAGATGAGAGTGTGATGTAAACGTCCTTGTTGAATCTGCTGTATAAAAATATGACACATAATAAAGCTAAGATCAAATGTAAGATATGTAAAATATATATAGGTACTGTATATATAAAATATAATAAATAATATATATATATAAATAAAATATATATAATATATATAAAATATATAATATAAATAAAAATATATATAAAAAATGACAGTAAACACATTTATAATGTTACAAAAGATTTCTATTTCAAATAAAGGCTGTTCTTCTGAGCTTTCTTTTCATCAAAGAATCCTGTCGCAGTATAATGGTTTCCACACTTCATTAAGCAGTACAACCTTTTTCAACGTTGATAATAATCAGAAATTTTTCTTGAGCAGCAAATCAGCATATTAGAATGAATTCTAAAGGATCATGTGACACTGAGAGTCGAGATCTGACATCAAGGAAAAAATTAAAAAAAACAGTTATTTTAAACTGTACAATTATTTCACAATATTAATGTTCTTGACTATTTTTAATCATATAAATGCCGTAGGTGAACATGAACAAAGAACCTTACTAATACAAAACCTTAGAACAGTAATGTATCATAATATCAAAACAAGCACACTTACGGACATTTGTTAATAAAACTATTTTGTTAACATCAAATTAGTTGCTTATTCTATTCCACAAAATGCCATGAAGTATTTATTTTCTCATTTACAGTGTACCAAATGTAATACACTTTTGTCCATACAAAAACAAAGAACTGAAATCAATGTATACAACTAGCTGAAGTTTGCTGTACTTTATCCTAACATTGCACAAAGCAATGCATTTGTATAAGAAAAATATCGATATTTACAACTTTATAAACCATAATCTCTAGCTTCTGCTAACTGTCGTACTCACGTTCACGAGGGAGTGGCATCCAGTTAACGTTTATAAAGTTGAAAATATGGATATTTCTTCGCTTCAGGAGGCCTTTATTAACCCTCCGGAGCCGTGTGGAGTACTTTTTATGATGGACAGATGCACTTTTTTGGGCTTCAAAATCTCGATCCCTATTCACTGCCATTATAAAGCTTGGAAGAGCCAGGACATTTTTTTACATAACTCCGATTGGATTTGTCTGAAAGAAGAAAGTCATATACACCTAGGATGGCTTGAGGGTAAATCATGGGGTAATGTTCATTTTCGGGTGAACTATCCCTTTAAGCGCAGTATGAAAAGCCCTGTGAAGGCCTTCAGAAACGGCCTCTGACAGTCGTGAACATGCAAACAGACAAGCAGAGTGACATAAATAGTGAAAAGTCAAGGGCAGTGCTGTCAGATTGTTATATCAGCTCTCTTTACCAGAATCAAGTATTCAAGAGAGAAAGGTGATAAAAAAAAATGATTTGAGGTCTATTTGAAAAATGAGGGTAGATTGGTTACTTTTCAGTTAAGAGATGCAGATTTCCGTGTTCACCACATCTTGTTCACCACAAAGTCAGCGTAAGATTGCCTCAGACCAGTCGGAATATATTTAGCCAATAGCCTTCGTCAACTAATTTATTTTCAGATCTGTATGAGAACCACACCATGAGAACCAGCCAACCACAGAGTTTCCTTTGAGAGGACAATGTCAATTGTGACCACTTTAAAAACGGAACACTGACTTTTTACCTTTTAATTTGGACTTTTTCTAGTCAGTGTGACTGTCAGTGTCATGTAAGATCTTTATTAACTGTAACTGCATTACTATACAGACAAGTTAGACTTCTATCACTGCCTTGCTAACACTTGTTTTGATCCTGTCCAAGCATCGTTTCTAGTTATGTTCTGATAGTGCTGGTAAACGTGTGTATTTAACATTATTTTAAAGTTTATACCGTTTTAACAATAAAAATCATTTTAACATTTTGCATAATAAGCTAATAATTTTAAATTCAGCTTCACTGTAAATCATGGATCATAATATCAACAATGTTTTGGATGACTGTCTTAAAATTCATCTTAAATTGATATTTGACTTTTGGTTGTGGAGTTTGGTGTCTATTCAAATCTGGAGCAAATGACTTCCATGCAAGGAAATAGCTGTTTCAAGGAAATAGCATGCCCCTTGATTGTGGGATATTTCATATTTAGAAACAGAGATTTTGTCTTTCATTCTTTCTGTATATACAATATTAAATACAATCAATCATTAAAAAACTTGGTAACGCTTTAGATTACAACCCGCAAAGAACTATGTAAGTATACTGAATTTACGGTGTACGTTTCTGTAATTATAGTGTACCTATAAAGAACATACGTGTAGGTATAAGGGAACAATGTGTTACGTTTGGGTAATAAGGGGGTAACAACCAGATATGCAACCTGCAAAGAACTGCGTAAGTAAACTGAAGTTACAGTGTAACTTTTTTTGTAATTATAGTGTACCTATTCAGTACCTCCGTGTAGGTATAAGGGAATAATATGCGAAGTTTGGGGAATAAAGGGGTAACAACCTGTAAAATTACAAATCATTTATGCTGTAAGTATTTTGAAACTAAGGGGTGCTTATTCTAATATTGCGTGGTATGTATGGCCTAAACAACAATCTTATGTTTGGGAATGATTTAGAAAGACGATATATACTTTTTATAATTTTATATTGGTATTTTATTATAGGCGTATAGGTATTTTTCCCTTATTCCATGTAGTTACAGTGGTGATTTGCTCCCCCCTTATTCCATGTAGTTACAGGGTAAATACAACAGTTGCGGGCTGTAAATTAAACTGGTGCTTTGTTACCTCCTTGTCCCATGTAGTTACAGGGCAAATACAACAGTTGCTGGCTGTAAATTAAACTGGTGTTTTGTTACCTCTTTGTTCCATGTAGTTACAGGGTAAATACAACATTTGCGGGCTGTAAATTAAAGTGGTGCTTTGTTCCCCTCTTGTTCCATGTAGTTACAGGGTAAATACAACATGTGCGAGCTGTAAATTAAAGTGGTGCTTGTTCCCCCCTTGTTCCATTCCATGTAGTTACAGGGTAAATACAACATTTGCGGGCTGTAAATTAAAGTGGTGCTTTGTTCCCCCCTTGTTCCATGTAGTTACAGGGTAAATACAACAGTTGCGGGCTGTAAATTAAACCGGTGCTTTATCTCCTTGATTCATGTAGTTACAGGATGAATACAACAGTTGTGGGCTGTAAATTAAAGTGGTG